CCGCCGCAGCCGGGCCCCGCCGCCGCCCTTGGCACCGCGTTGCTGCTGCTCCTGTTGGCCACCGAGTCCTCGCACAGTGAGTACTGCCTGGTGCGACTCCGCAGCCTCGGCTCTACTCCTGGCCCTAGAAGACTCCCCATCCCTTCCCCTCAAAAAAGCCTCACACATGCCGGGTGGGAAGCTGGACACTCCTGCCAGCAGCCCCCGCCTCGCCTGTGCTCCCGAGCCGGCCCTGCAGCAGCAGAGGAGGCCACTGAGGCTGCTACGCGTCCCCGGGCACCCACCGCCGCTGCATCATCCCTGGGTCAAGGGCACAGAGCCGGTGCCCGCAGTGGGGCGTGAGGGGTATGAGCATCGAGGGGCCCGCGTTGATGGCCGTGTTCCCTTTTCTCTTCCCCGCTCGCCCCCATCCCTCCTACCCCGCTCTTTCCCTGCCGGCTTTCGCCCCCTCTCCGCTCGCGCGCTGCTCGCGGGGCAGCGGTGTTGCTGCGGCCGCGCGAGGCAGCGCAGTTCCTGCGGCCGAGACAGCGTCGAGCCTACCAGGTTTTCGAGGAAGCTAAGCAGGGTCATTTGGAGAGAGAATGCATAGAAGAACTGTGCAACAAGGAGGAGGCCCGGGAGGTGTTCGAGAACGACCCCGAGACGGTGAGCGTGTGGTCTGGCGGGGGGTGCGGGAAAGAGGGGTACGCAATTTTCGCGCTTTCGAGGGCTGCAGCTGAAGTCCGAGTGTCAGCTGACTGCCAGCCTGGGAAGGTAGTCTTAAGAGGGTCTGTTAGATAAATTATTTACCTTTCCGAAGCTTGTCGGGACGGGGGTGGGAGTGTTGATTGCGGAGAGTTTGGGGAGCTAAATCATCAGGAGCACTCTCCCTGCAGCACCTTATTTATAGGGACAAAGATCCCTGCAGGCACCTAGGGGGAGCCTGCGGGATTCCTCCAGCACCTCACACTTCCTTTCCTAGAGTACCCGGGTGAGGCCCCAATTTGAGGAGGGTCCAGTGCCTCTAGTCACAGCCCAGTGGAGGCGTAGCGAGGGAGAGGGTAGAGGGGAGACACTTGCTCCGGACGGTAAATCCTTGGGGGCATCGGAGAAGGCTGGCTGGCGAATTACCCCCACCTCCTCCTCGATCCACTAGGCCAGGGAATGGGGGGAGGAGGGGAAAGGGGCGCAAATTTGGAGGTTGCCCTTGGGCACAGGTTACCCCCTCTACGCCTCTGCATCCCAGAGCTCTTAAATAAACTGAAACTATCTCTATCAGAAAGAATGTCAGGTGGCAGAGGAGAAAAGGGCATTTGGAACCAAAGTCACCCTCACATCTCCCTCCACACCTGAGCCTCAATTCTCCTGGTGACCTTAAGTCCTTTGAGAGTAGGCAGGGCTTTGAGCGGTGTTCTGTTCCAGACACTGCAGTTATCTTCTGTCACCTGAAAGCTGCCACTTTAAAGAAAATATGCACAATGTAAGACTTCACTAGAATAAAACAGGAACTCCATTTTCAACGTGTAAAAGAAATAGAATGGTTTAAAAAAAAAAAAGGAAAAGGAAAAGGAAAGAAAAGAAAACCAGCTTCCTACCTCCCCTCCCCTCTTTGCTGGATTGGACAGTAAGGGGAGGCGCTGCCCAAAGCTCCTTGGTCTGCATCAAGCCGAGATGGAGAGTATTCCTGAAAGAGGAACTGAAAGATTTGAGGGGTGAAATTGCTTGCAGCAGCAGGTCCAAAAATATTATTACAAGAATGCAGGAATAGTGCAAAGAATATGTATTTGGGAGGGGTGGTAGGAAAGGGGGTGGGGACAATGTCAGGGTAGAAAGTAGAGAAAGACTAAGCCCCAAGTGTGTGTGTGTGTGTGTGTGTGTGTGTGTGTGTGTAAGGGGAAGGCTTTTAGCAAGGTGCTCTTTTAGAAGCAGCTGGTGATTTTAGGACCACAGCCTGACAGGTGCTGGCCCAGGACATATTTCTATTAATAATGCCCTTGGAAAATGTGTGGGGTGGGAAAGTCAGCCAACTGTGAGAGGCTGCCCAAGTGTGGAAGCCGATGTCTCAGAGGAGCTGGGTGATTGTAAAGGATGGGACAGAACTTCCACTGTCTCTTATTTAAGAGCATTCATTGGAAGGACCCATCGGCAGCTTAAGATATGAAGCTTAAGATGTTTGTCTGTTCAGAAGCAAATGACATTGGAAAGTAGGAATGATAGAAATAGGCTTGGGTTTACATTATGTCACTTTATAAAATGAGATCAGAGTGATTTCACAGCTAATTTTTTTGGTACTCCTGGAATTTTTCTTTTAAAGAATTATGGGATGAAATAAAAACCATATGCAATAAAAGAATGGTTCTGTATGACCAATGTATGCTTTTATTTTGACTTACAGATTTATAAACTGGACTTTATACTCTACTTTAGATCCCCTTTTCTGAAAACAAGCTTTATTTATTGCTGAACATGCCACAGTGCAGTTCTCTTCTTGGCATAGCTAATCATTACTTTAACTGCGATAAGTTAGAGATTATTTTAGGTGGTGTAGTGCCTAAGGCATCTGACTGCTAACCAGAAGGCTGGTGGTTCAAATCCACCAGCCACTCCTTGGAAGGAAAATTGGGCAATCTACTTCCGTAGTGATACCGCCTCAGAAACCCAAGGAGGGGTCGCTCTGAGTCGGATCTGACTCTATGACAGTGAGTTTGGTTTGGTATTTAGCTACCATCAGGATCAATAGCAACAGGGTCCCAGTTCTGTCTCCCTCTGCCAGCATAATGCTGCAGTTTTGCTGTTTTTCTATTTTTTTTTTTTCCCCTAGCCTCACCCCCCTCCCCCTCTTCTTTAATGATGAATCCTGCTGCACCAATGAATCATGCACCTGGCAGAAGATCTCTAAATGTGCTAGTAGCAGGGCTCATGTGCCCCAGGTCACCCTGGGCCACTGCTCAGTTTTGGCATTATGTGGCAGGTGCAATGCTCTCCAACCCCTCATGCCTAACCTAGACAGTTTGGCTTGTAGTCTTTAGACACAGCTTTCTGGTTTCAGGAGTTGAAAGTAACAATAATATTCTCTACCTCAACTAGCCCCTGCCCTGCTGCAGCCCTAGCTGGCCCAGGACTGAAACCCCCTAAGCCCAGCTTTTCCTTGCTGACATCTAGGCCTCAATTTGTGCTAATTAGCAAAATGCTATTTGACTATAAGATACTATTTGCTAATAACCACTGTGCTGCTCTTTTCTTCCCAGAGTGTTAATCCCCTCTCTGATTGATTGCTTTTATGCTTTTTTAATTATAAATCATAAATGTAATATAATTACCTTACAAAAGTATGTGCAACGAAGACAGGAAAAAGAAAAAGTATTCATGATCCCATCACTTTATTACAACCACTGTTACAGCTGTTATTTGGGGATATTTTCTGTGCAAGGGTTTTTGTATTTCCTTATAATCAAATATTTTGGTTCCCTTCTGCCTTTGTCTGCGCAATTGAATTGTTTTAACATTGGGGGATGCCTTTCACTTCCTGTGTCCTCTGCTAGGCCTTTCTCAGAAAGCTCAATTTCAGATTCTTTTTGCAATCAGAAGTTTGTAAGCTTTTCACATTAAAATCATCTGAGCTTTTCCAGAATTCTACCCTCCCCCTTTACTATTCCCATTCTAAAATGATAATTACATTTTTTCCTTTATCAGTTTTCCAAGTTGAAAAGCTGCTGTCTGCTTCTGTCCTTGTCAATCCAATCGCAGGTCTTTTACCTTAATCTGCCATCTTGAGTTTTCATGTATATCCTTTGCTCTGTTTTCTGGAGTTGCCTTGTGTTCTTTTTACTTACAGTGAACATAGTTTGAGAGGCAGTGTGGTGCTCTGGGAAGAGTCCTTCGTTAGGAATTAGGCTTGCTGGTTGTGTTCCCAGTTCCTCTGATAGACAATGTGCATTGAGGGCAAGTGTTGACCTCAGAGGTCCTTATCTTATAGTCCAGCCTTCTCAACACCATTGTAGTGGAAAACCCCTAGAGTGAGGGAGTGGGAGACTTTGTTCAGGGCTCTGTCTGCTCTGCTACTTACTGTTGTTGTTATTTGCCGTGGAGTCGCCCCGACTCATAGCGACCCCTCCTTGGGTTTCCGAGGCAGTATCACTACGGAAGTAGGATTGCCCAACCTTCCTTCCGAGGAGTGGCTGGTGGGTTTGAACCGCCAGCCTTCTGGTTAACAGTCAAGTGCCTTACGCACTATGCTGCTACTTACTAGCTGGGGGATTTAGGCAATTCACCTCTCTGTGTGCTTCAGGGAGAAGTTAGGAGGAATTTTCTTCATCTGGGGAATGGTGGCGTAGTTGCCTAAGGCATTTGATTGCTAACCAGAAGGCTGGTGGTTCAAACCCACCAGCCACTCCTTGAAGGAAGGTTAGGCAATCTACTTTCATAGAGATACCACCTGGGAAACCCAAGGAGGGGTCACTATGAGTTGATGGCAGTGAGTTTTTTTTTTTTTTTTTTGGTTTGGGGAATCAGGAGGTTGGTTCATTCAACAGTCATTTCTTAAGCACTTACTAAGTGCAAAGCATTTTGCTAAACGTGCTCCAGGCATCTCCCTTTTTAAATATTTATCATTCCAAATTAGAGAAATTCCTTCCTTTTTTTTTTTTTTTTTCTTTTTTTGTTGAGGGCAGGCGCCAGCCTTCAAAGTTACTCTCCTTTACAGCAGGTAAATAATTAAGCCCGAGCCCTTGTGGCACAACAGTTTAGCGCTCAGCAGCTAACTGAAAGGTTGGTGGTTGAACTCACCCAGCAGCTCTGAAGGAGAAGAAAACACCTAGAAAACCCTGGGGGTAGTTCTCTGACTGGACCACACCAACAACAGTAAAGATAATTAAGTACAATGCTGTCTGTCCTTTGCCAGATTCCTGCCAATTACCACACAGCTTGAGGCTTAAATGTCAGAGCCCACTAGTTTGGTTTCATTAGAAAAAATAAAGGGAGCATTTTCCTGTGGACATTTGCTTTTCTAACTCCAGACCCACCTGCTGCTAAAGAAATCCCTTTTGTCCCTCCTTTGCATTTCCTAGGGGCAGATAACTGCATTCTTTTTAAGTCCCAGGGATATATACCTTGTGTTCTGGGTAACAATATTGCTACCTCTGCTGCAGATTATTGTCACAGTTATCGTCCCACCTCTCCAAAGCCTAATGTGCATTCTCTCTTTATCTGCCTCTTCTCTTTATATTCTCCCATTTTCTGGCATTTTACCTCTCCCTTGCTGGTCTCCTTGGTCTGAATTAATACTCCTAAGAGAACCATGAGTTAAGTAATCCCTGCACAGTTGTCTTTGCCTGGGATTTTTCTGAGTTCCTTCTTAGTGTTCCAACCCCTCAGCCCCAACCCCATGTTCTCAGCACAAGAGTCACCTTTTTACCTAAATGCTTCTCAAAGCAGATTTATGGTGGATTGTTGGCTGCCTAGTAATCAGTATTTGCTTCCAGAAAAGATTCTGGACAAAAGATCTATTCAGTCTGGGATCTGCTAATCAGATACTTACCTATTCACACAATCTACTCATTTTACTAAACTTAGTATTTCTGTCTAGCAGGTTGACATGTACAGTTTGATGCATGGCCTATGAGTAGGAAAAATACATCATGGCTGCAGTTCTCAATCCCACCACCTTA